CCCCAGCCTGTTTGGCAGGCTGGAGGCGGGCACTTACTTCCCCCAGCGGGAATTTACTATCGGGGCTGTGCCTATGCCCACATGTGTTGTGGGGGACGCATTCTACCCCCTGCTGCCCTGGCTAATGCGGCTCTACATGGGGCAGCCAGACCACAACCGGGCCCGGTTCAACGACCACCTCAACTGGGCCCAGAACCAAGTAGAGTGCGCCTTCGGGCGTCTGAAAGCCTGGTTCCGTTGTTTGCTCACCCATCTGGAGATGAGCGAGCGGAATGTCCTGGAGGTAGTGGCCACGTGCTGCGTGCTCCACAATCTCGTGGAGCGGAAGGGGGAGGCCTTCCTCCCCGCATGGATGGCAGGTGAGGGCCAGGCCTACGAACAGCCCCGCACAGCTGCCATCCGCCAGGCGCACCAGGATGGGGTGCGCATCCAGGAGGCCCTGACGGAGATGTTCTCCCAGGCACCGTAGCAGGGTCACCTCCATCTCCCTTTACAACTCCCTCCCATCCCCTACCCTTCCCTCTCCCCTCTCCTTACCTCCCAATAAACAACAACACAGGTTTTTTTTAACACAACATTTGAACTTTTTATTTACAATGGAGAGTGGAGAGATGTAGGATGGGAGGGGGAGGAGGCTCTCAACTGGGAGGGGGAGGAGGCTTTTAACTGGGGAGGGGAGCTACTGCTGGAGGAGTGGCCCCTGTGACTGCTTCTGCAGGGGCAGACCTGCACATGGGGGTAAGGCCACGTCGGGGCAGGCAGCACAGGAAGGTGGACAGGAGGGGCAGGAACAGGAGGGGCTATTGCAGGAGCAGGAGGGGCCATTGCAGGAGGGGGCAGGGGCAGTGCTAGGGAAGGGATGGCAGGGGCTTGGCGCAAGGCCATGTCATAATGGATGGCATGGGCAGTGAGGGTGGCGATCGAATCCGCCATGCGGATGCACTGAGCCTGGAAGGTGCCCCAGGCCTCCTGGCGCTACTGTAGGTCTGCCTCCACACGCCGAGTGATGGCTGCCTCGACGCACTTGACGGCCTGCACATGGTGGTGGTGGCGGAGCCGCTGCCTCAGTGGTTGGGGAGGCTTGGGGAGCTGCTGCTGCCGTTGCTGCTTCAGGACTAGAGGGTCCCCGGCTTGTGCTTGGTCCCACTGCAGGGAGCAGAAGAAAGGATGGGTCAGTCAGGCAGCCCGGCCACTGTCCCCACACCTCATGCCCTCCACCCCTGAGCCCAGGTGACACCACAGTAGTGTAGCTTGGGCCCACTCAGTTCCCTCTCTGCCCCCGTGTTGCATGTTTGCAAGGAGGACCGCCCCTGAAGTAGGGTCTTCCTCTATGTATTGTAACCACTGGTCTGTGTCCTGGCCCCATGGAGGGCGGGAGGGCGCTTGTGTTGTGTTCACTCCCTGCCGCTGGAGGCTGTCAGGCTTTGGGCTAATCAATGGTGTTTGACAGGGAGCGAGATGCATTCCCACACAGTGCCTGGGAGCACATCTGGCAGACGTGGTCTGGGCTCTCAGATCCCCATCGTGTGGGATGTCTCCTGGACGGAACCGGGGTGACGGGGGAGTGTACCATCCTTGCAGCAAAACTCAGGCAGCCCTAGGGCTGGCCCGAGTGCTTCCCGCCCTCCCCTTCCCGCTAGCCCTCACACACGTAGCCCAGGAACATGTGTGGTCGCAGTGGGGACTTCCCTCAGGGAGCCAGCCAAGGCACCGGGAGCAGGCGAAGGGCACAGTGGGAGCCATGCTCACAGGGCTGTGACACTGCGGTTTTCCCAGGAGCAG